AGGGGTTAGGAACAACTGGTGTGTGTTCTTCCCCTTCATCCCTCATACTCATCTATTCTCACTCTTTAAATCGTTTAAATCGAGTTTGAACTTTAGTTATTGTTCCTACATGAACACTATGTGATACATAAAACTGGACAAACAAACACAGATGTTTAGTGCTTTCAGCTGACACTAGTCGCAAAGATGAAAAGTCAATGTTGGAGCTGGTTCAACATGCCTTGCTTGCCTTTGAAATCCACTGCTGTCTGCTGCGTGTCCTGCTGACCCGACCAGTTGGGTCTTCTCTCTTATCACCTCACCAACAGTTCTCTGATGATAAGATAGATAAGTCATATCCTGGACTTATTGTATTGATAATGGTCTTTTTGCTGGACTTGAAATACTGTATGTTTTTACAACTTTTTAGTCATTTATATATTTATTTTGTATGTATTATTATTTTCTTATTGCTTTTACAACTTTCATTTTATTTTAGTAAATAACATTTATACATATATATTGTTCTTATATATACCTACAGCTGTTTTCTCAGCTCTAGCTTTTCTTAAGGAGAGTGATCTCTCTAAGTGCCTCACCCAAGGTTTTGTTTATTTTGCATGCTATTGTTTTGGTATGTTGCCCATGGTCACAGAATTTGCATAAAATATTGGGCGGAACACAAGGTTCTCTTTCGATACTTTACGTTTTGCGTCAGGGTTGTTGGACAGATTGGCGAGAACAATCTAAGGAGTGGTTTCAGCGAGGCATTGTGTGTCTATGGAAATAGCCTTTCTCAATCTGCGTTCATGTGTGTACTTGTGAAATATCAAGTCACGGCTCAAGCACTGTCCCAAACATGGATGTGAAAGATACTAGCAAACTATTAAACTAAGTACGACAGTAAATTGAGTATGTACAGTTGTGCATTTTAACTGGATTTTGTGTACAAAAAAGAATCTGGGATGTGTAGCTATTAGATTCCAAAGGATGTCAGAGTATGAGACGTGATTTTAACTTTAATTGTAACATGGTAAGTGAACACTGTTGTACAGCGGGCTGTAACAGCCAATCACGCAACCAACAAACAAAAGTAAATATTAGATCATGGGACTGACTGTTCTTTCATTAATATTTATTTCTGTTATGTAACTGTTACAAAGGTAAGAGGGCCAAAACAACTGCTGAACTAACACAAAACACTACAAAGTGAATATGACTCAAAACACAATGTAGCAGTATACAGTCAGACTCAAAGGTCGGCTTACTTTGTCACTAAAATAGAGAGCTCTGAATGATCAGTAAGATTGGTAGCAACATAGAGCTGAACACCATCCACATTGGCAGTTAATTCACACATTCCCCTCCTATTAGGCCCCAAAGAGGGATCACATATGCAGAGAAAAGTTTAGAAAGGACCTAAATCATGAAGAGTGCTGGATTATGAATACCTATGATTGTGTTAAATGTGTGTAAAATGCAACATTTAGATTGGAGGCTTCACCGGACTCAGCTGACAGAAGTAGATCATTAACCATTTGGTTAGGATGCAGCTAAGTGGTCTTAACACAGAGTGAAAATGCTCAAAGGGGTTAATAGAAGCAGGGTAATCGAGCATTGATCGACAACTATGGATTCAAAGGTGTTGAGTGGAAATGTGGAAAATGAGAGGTATCAAAGGGTTTAAAACTCCAATGGGTAGCTTTCAGTAAATACAGATTTAACCACCCTCATCGTTTAAAGCTTTGAATTATGAACAAACACAGGAGTCAACCAACTGAAGTATTTTTTAATCCTAACAATAGCAATAATTACGAAGAAAGTGCTATTATTGAGCACAGTTCCCTTGCTTTACAGTGACAGTATGCGTTTTCTGTTCTCAGTTAAGTAGCTCCCTGTCTGCTGGGCGACATTTGTACTTTGAGCTGTTCCTGTTGATCCTCGTTTGCTGGTGTGGCGGACAAGGGGGTGAGCGGGGGCAGCGGGGCATGGTCGGCCGGGAGGACGTGGCCTCCTTTACGGGACACGAAGCCAGTGTGGGTGCGGCCTCTGAGGGTGGGCAAGGGGGCGAGCGGGGGCAGTGAGGGCAGTGGGGCCCGGCCCGGGGGCAGGACGTGGCCTCCTTGACGGGACAGGAGGGCAATCTCTCTCCTGAGGGCCCCGGTCTGCTGCGATTGGGTTTTCACCAGCACCTGGAGCCTCAAAACCTCCTCCTGGTCCACACGGCTCCTGTTGTCCTGGAACTGTCTGCCCTGGAAACACACAAAGAGATACTTATAATAAACATGCAGTGTACAGATGGACAGACACAAACAAACTCATACATATACGGTATGTCAATACACAAGGTGCATAGTCACCAATGCACCTTCACTCAGCTAGGCTAAAGGGCTGTCAGGACATCTTGGGTTTAAAATCTGACCCAGAACCTTTGTCCAATAGTCATCGGATCTGACGGACAATGGTAAAAGTGCCCAAAATATATTCATTGTTTGGGCACTTAGAGGCTGCAGAACAACCCGAAAGCAGTTGAAAATGCAACACAATATATATATTTTTTTATTTGATAGTGAGAGACAGAGACAGGGGATGACATGAGGAAAAAAGGGCCCTGGACCAGACTCAAACCCTGGCCACTGCAGCAAGGACCTCAATGGTCTACGCAGTGAGCTACCAGAGTGCCTCCAATTTAATTATTTTAACTTGTTATAAATAAAGCCTCCTTTGGACAGGTGTTGTAAATTATTCGCAACAAACACTCAACACAGTGCGTCTGGTCTTAATGCTGCTGTGATGTCCATATCAAATGAAATAGACTAACTAACTTACTCACAAATATGTCACACGTTATCTCCTTATATAGTGGCAACATATTAGCAGCTGCAAACCTCCACACCCAGCAGGCACAGAGCAACTTTATAATCCCACTGGGGTCAAAGTGGCTCCTCCTGCGTCTTTGAGTATCTGGGTCATGAGCTACTGAATGCGCCACTATGTTCACCAGCTAGAAATGTGCCGTATGGAATAAAAGACACTTCAATGCTCCGTAGAGCTCCACAGCTGGTTATAATCCCCGTAGGTTCATCACAAAACATGTAGTTATTTCACATTGTTGATATAAAAACACTGATGTACTTTCATAAAAATCGACCAGATGTACGTATGTATGGACGGACGGCCAAGGCTGTCCAGACGCGGAAGCATAAACAAGGTCAGCGAAAGGGAAGTTGGAATCTACCATATTAGCATATGTGGTTCCCAGCTTTGATCAATATTATATATGAAATAATTTCAATACGCAGAAATGACCATTTTCTTCTGCCTGGCGTTGAGTTTACGGTCCAGTTCCCTTGTCTGGTCCACGAGTTTGGTCTGGCAGAGGACAAGCTCTGTGTTACGCCTGGTTACCTCCATCAGATTATCACGGGCCTCTTCCACCTTCCTCTGAATATCACACACAAATCCAGAAAAAGATCAATAAACACACTCCAATTTAAGCTTTTCATTTCGCTTTAAAAACAACATAAAGTTTAACTTCAGGTAAAGAGGATCAGAACAAAATAGATATCTCACGGTTGCCTAAGGCCCATGCACACACACACACACACACACACACACACACACACAGGTCAGCGTACATCCAACTGTTTCATTTCCTTGGCGTGGCCAGCTTCTCGGAGTAATTTCTTCTGCTTAAGCTCCTCCAGCTTCCTGTTCCCCGGCGCCGTCATGAGAGCATCCAGATCCACAATCCTCCCAAATTTCGCAATCATCTGCTCGTTGCAGCGCTTCTCCAGCACTACACCGACACACAACAACACAGAGATCAGTATCTAACAATGTCATTTTTCCGGCACTGGCCATAATCATTGATGTGCATCTGAATTTCACCGGTATCTAACCCGAACACGTAATCAGAGGTTTCAGGTTAAACCAGATCTAGACCCAGGCGTTGGCCTGTGGGGAGCTCACCCTGGATGTTGGCGTCCATGTCCCTGCGTTCACGGAGGAGCCTGGCGCGATGCTTGCGCGTCTCACCGTACAGATCTCTCTGCCGACTCTTCTCCACATGCAACTGCTTGATGCGCTCCTGCAGCCTGTTGAGCTCCGTCACGTCCATCACCAACGCCTGGCTCAGGTCTGACTTTAGGTCAAACTTAATCTGGTTGACGGATGGAGTAATTGCATGAGATGACAAAGTCAAAACACCAGTTTTGTCACCAGTGAGCCTCCACAGTTTTGGGCTGTATACCTGGTGCAGTCTGAGAGGAACCACCACATCCAGTTCGTTCATTTTCCGCTGCGTCTCCCTGTTGATCAACTCAAGGTCGTCCTCTGCTGCCTTCCGACTGGCCTTCATTGATTTCTCCTGCAGAGGCGAGCAGACAAGACAAACACACCACAAAATTTGCATCTTTCCTTAAAGTACAATCTAACACAATCTATTTTTTTGAAAACATCCCCCACTTTGAGTCCACTAGTAAGAGATACACTCTTTTGGAATTGCTTTCTCTTTCGCCAGAGAGTAAGAAGCTTATCACCAAATTTGTGGATTACCTCTCTAAAGGTTTCTGTGTCGGTCAACTGTTTAAACAAGATTTGGGAAAAGGGAACTCAATGCTGTGTTGCCTGGTAAAACATGGACGACTGCACCTCCCTGTATTCGTACAGTAGTTGTTCAATAATCAGAAGAAACGGGTTTATTCACAAACAGTGAATCACCAAGTGATTCACTGTTTGCATTATTCTAACGTCATGTTGCATACATTTTACCCCTTAGTGTCTCCAATCTGTAAATGTAATTAAAATGTTGGTACATTGTTTCTTTTGTTCTGGGGTTAACCATAAGACTCTCTCTCTCCTAACAGAGGCTCTCTTTGGATGTTTAGAGGACTCTTCAATTCTCCCTTCACACATTCAAACAGCTCTATCAAAACAACTTATTCTCAAAGACTGGAAGACATCAACTCCACTGTGCCTTTAAAAACTGACAGCATGAACTTGTTTCGGGTTATTCACATGGAGGAACTGCTAGCTAATAATTTAAACTGTCAACATGAATGGGAGGGATTTTGGGCTGCCTTTTTGGAATATCTGCACCCCATTTGACTGGATTTGTATTTAAATTATTTATTATATATTGATCGTTTTTTGTATTTCTCTGTTCTGTTTTGTCTCCTATTTCTGATGGGTTGTATTTAACAATCACATGTGGATGATATGTATTAATAAGCAGTTTTGTGTCTCAGGCGCATGGTTAAGATGAATTTCTCTTAGTTACTTATCGCTCCCCCAGGTGTGTGTGTGTTATCAGAAATATGTACACACACACCAGTATGTGAGCTGACAAAAAGAGCACACATTAGAAGGTAAACATGCCAGATGAGATGAGGAGACAGGAAGATGAGTATGACCTTCTTGAAGAGGGTGTCGCACTCCTTCTTCAGAGCTTCAGCACTCTTTCTCTCCTCCACCAGCAGTTCCTCCAGGTCCAGCCGACGCTCACGCAGCTGCAGTGTGTCCTCAAACAACTCTGGGTCACAGTCTGATACATACACACACACACACACACACACACACACACACACACACACACCCACACTTGCGACGTCTTTTTTTAAGAGCACAAAGTTCTGCATCTTCGCGTCTTAGTTTTGCTCTCAAAGTGCACCAGATTGATGCGTTTAAAATCATATTCAAAATCTTTGTCACAGCGTAGGAGAGCACATTGCTCGCCAGATAATCAGTCACACATCATCATCACAATCAACACGGATCCACACAAAAGAGAGAAAAGGCTTGTGCTGTGCTGGGATCGTAATGCTACACTGATTACGGAAAAATGAGCCGAACAAAGTCATCGCTCAATAGATTGGCAATGAGTGCTAGCCAATCACAGCAACGAGAGACGAGGATGGGTGTGTCTTAGAGCCCCCCTGCCCATGTTGATACGTTTCTCAAGTTCTGGAGGCAATTTGAACTCAGGGGTTGAGTTTCTCTTTTAGTTCGTAGGAAACCGACTGCTACACTGGTAAGAATTTAAAGGTTCACACTTCACTGTGAAAAAATACTGACCTGGTGGGCAAACAATGCCGTCCAGAGCAGCTTCTCCCCCCTCTGTATCATCGTCTTCATCACTGTCCTCCTCTTCCTCTGCAAACACACAATTGGATCATAAAGGACACATTGATACACACACACACAGCATCACACAATCATACTTGCGTACCTTCACTTCCTGTCTGCTCCTCCTTCTTGACACGTTTGATCTTCTTCTTGAAGACTTTGGTCAGAAACTCTTCAAACTTGTTTCCTTGGCCCAGTGAGGCCTGGAAGGAAGCCTTCAGAGCCGTCTCTTTCTCCTGCAGCTTAGCTATGTCTTCCTGCTTCAGTTGGAGCATTTCATTGAAGTCCTCCAGCTCAGACTGAGAGGAGAGAGAGAGAGAGAGAGGGGAGGATGGAACGAAAACGTACATGAGAATCTATCGATGTGTTGGCACGTGTTGAACCTGCGCAGCATTCAGTGGAAGTCGCTCAGAGTTTTGGCAGCGCTCAAAGCACCTTCACACACAATCACTGTCGTTAACGCAGGCAAAGCGGAACTATGGAAACCTGCTTTGAATCACGTCTATGTGTGATAGCTGGATTTATTGAAATAGAAGCATATTTGTTTTGTCAGAAAGATGGCGGACGACTTAAAAACTCTCTCCCACTGTGATGTTGCTCTCCTCTTCAATGCGTTTGTTGAGGTTCTGCTCTAGGACGTCCTCCCTCCTCTCGGCCTCCTCGAGGATCCGCAGCTCCTGGTAGAGCGTCAGCTGACGGAGGTCGGCCATCTTCAGCTGACAGTCGAGACGCAGCTTCTGGTGAAGCAGCAGCATGAGCTCGGCGTCAAACTGACACACCGAACTCTCCATCTGGCGATGAAAAACACATCCACGGATTATACCACAATGTTATACACCGTCAGCCTGAGATGTTCAGGGAGTTCCAGAAGATATTTTGCTCATGAATATATATTTAACGTCAATTGCTTTTATTGGATGAAAAACGTACCTGCTCCAGCAGACAGTCCTGCTCGTACAGCAGTCTGATCTCCTCCTCCTTCCGGAGCTCCTCCTCGAGCTCGCTCAGCTCTACACCTTCCTCCTCTGCCGTCTCTTCTTCTTCTCTGGATACAGATGAAGCGGACAGACTAGGAGTCCCTTCCTCTCCTCTCTCCTCCTCCTCTTCTTCCATCCCTTTCTCCAGCTCCTCCAGTAAACGTGTGGCTGCCTCCAGCTCAAGAGTATGGAAACTGTTTGAAAATAACAAAGGAAATGCCTTCCTTTAAAAAACACACAATCAGCAGCTATTTAGAACATCCTGGGGATGTTGCCCTGCTATTAGCTTAGCTGTGGTTTAAAGTCAGTTTTAAAGTCACATGATCACTTAAACCCCATTACTGTATCTTAAGAAGCTGCAGTTTGTCTGTGTCCTGTAGTTATCACCTAAACACTTTTAGAGGTCATTGTATCTGAGGTTTAACTAAAACCGGCTGCAGACCTGGTTGAACTGGGGTTTCAGTGCAGTATGTGGGCTGATTTTTTACAGTTAGGATTATTTTATTAATTTCTAAAATAAACAAGAGAGCATCTTGTGATCATACAAGTCATGACACCAAATCGGGGCAGGGTTGTTAGTGTTATATCTTCCATTCTTTTTAATGTAGTCACCCCTTCCTACACTCACCTTTGTTATTTATCTTATTATATTTATATATTTATCTTATTTTCTGACTCTAGACTTGGTCTTGGATCAGACTAAAACCTGGCTCTTGTACCTCTGTTCCCTCAGAACCCTGTATCGCTCCAGATGGGCGTTGCTGTACTGCAGCTTCTTCTCTGGGGTTTCCTCTGGTAGCATAGCGGGCAGGGCAGGTGGAGGGCGGTGAAGGTGGGCCGCCAGACGCTGCTGGACCTGCTGGACCTGCTGAGCCTGAGCCTTCAACTGAGACAATAGAAGAACCTTGGAGTCCCGCAACGCCACAATCCGTTGATTCATCTCAGTCTGCTTTTTAAAGATCTAGTGGGATGGACGGAGTCAGTAAAGTAATCTGTTATGCATGCAACCATCATTTATTAATCAACTGATTTGTTTCATTAGACTGTTGATTATTTCTGTTTGTGTATGTGTTTGCGTACATTTTCCTCCAGGCCCATCAGAGCTGCTCTCTTCCTCTCAGCAGTCATCCTCAGGTGTTTCGGCACCGTAGAGTCTTTGTCTAACTTCAGTTTTAAGTCTCCGATGTTCTCGATGGCTTCGCGGATGGCCTGAACATCCCGCGGATCCTCACAGTCCTCGTTTGGCTTCTCTGCGTACCTGAGACACCAACAAGTCATTCCAGTTTTGCGCCATCCTGGCAATAGTTACAGTAGCAACCCCATCGCCCCCTAGCGGGTTAATCGGGCACTACAATTTGGAAGAACCATGAAGAAAAATGGAGGATGCCATGTACATTGAATTTGAGCCCAGAGGCCTGAGGCGATGTTGTTGGACATGACACTCACAATTGGGCCCATTCCTGCTTCCTCTTCTCTATCTTGGCTCGAGCTTGTCCAGCTTTCTCATCAGCCTTCCGGAGTCTCTCGAGCTGCCGATTTGTCAGCTTTACTTCTGGTTTACGAGGCTGCGGGCGGGGCAACACCTCTTCCACTGGAGAGCACACACAGGCGATAGGTCAAGCTTGTCTTCCACATACCTAACCCTTATATACTGTATTCTGTCAGGTATCCTACCACTGATAGACCCTTATGATTGACGACCTAAGAAACCTTAGATCTACGAACTTATGTTTATTTTTTATTTATTTTTTAGTTTATCATATACTGTTGTATTTCTACAATTCATTTTTGTTGCACAATTTTGAACGATGTAACAAATTTAAAATACAGGGAAGGGGGGGGCAGAGTTATTTTTATATTTTATGTCTTTCTTAATTGCTTTTGTTAAGTGTTATGATAAAAAAGGAATTTGATGACACTTTTTTACACATTTTGTACTTTGCAAATTCCCAATAAATATATTTTTACAAAACAAAAGGCACGTTTTTGACAGGTGAAACAAACACACAAACACTTTCCTACTTTCTACTAAGCTGCCGTCTTTTGCAGGCTCGGCTCTTGATTGTCTGCATTCTAGTCCAGCAGCTTTATGTCCGCCAGTGCTGCTGATGTCTGGGCTGGGATGTCTGGGCTGGGATGAAGGCTCTGCGAGTGCCGGCAGATGGTAAGTGGAGACTCTATGGTCGGTGCCGATGGCAACCACAGTGACCATGCTGGCCTCCGGAGAGTCCTTGAACCTGAAAAACAAACACAAGAGATGAGGGTTTCATTCTGGAGGCTGGTTGTATCCACTTCCTAACTTACCAACAGGGGCGAAATCTAAATAAAATCAAAACGTCTTAGGATGCCAGTCGGCTGGAATAAATGAATTCCTCCGTTTCTGTTGACTCCGAATGAAGAGATGATGGTTTAACATTTCATCCAAAAACACGTCAAAAACGTTTTTTGTTCTAGTCTTAAACTTAGTTGAAACATGTGGAGTAAACTAGAAAAAACTTATTTACCAAAGTCTTAACATAGACAAGTTTCAAATTAGCTAAATAACAACCCATTATCTCAAAAGAAAAGAAATCCCACCATTGATTAAAAGACAATAATTAGCAACTATTATTAACTGTATTTAGGTCAATGATACAGCAATTATCTGACTGATTAGATGTCCTTCTGTATGTATGTATGTATGTATGTATGTATGTGTGTGTGTGTGTGTGTGTGTTTAGTCAGCACCAGTCATGCAGTTTGCTGAGCACGATGGTGCAGCGCTCCTCCTCCTCGGCCATCTGCTTTCTGAGCTCCCTCACCCGCTGGGCCTTCACCCTCTCTACCTGCTCCCTGAAACAGGGGTGCACCTCCAGCTCCTACACACACAAATACACACATGCCAAACACACAATTGAGCACCTTGCACTGACACACATTAATTCACTGGAGACTTATCCAAACCGTAATGATAATATGCCTTACCCTAACCTTACACACAAACCAGGTCCTAATCCCAAACCTTAATGGTTTCGTTTTTGAGGGCCAGCTTTTCATCCCGCATTGAATGGTGTGTTAGCGTGCACTTAAGTAACAGGGTTACAGTTGTAGTGGAGATCAGGGTTGATGGGGGATAAGACGGACAGATGCACCAATGATGTGTGTGGTTTCTAGCGTGAATCTTTTAGTTTTATACTAAAACCAAACAGCAGCTTCAATGGCATACCACGTGACGGTGTGTGTGTGTGTGTGTGTGTGTGTGTCTGTACCGCAGGTTTCAGGCGAACATGCTCCGGCATACTTTGGTTGACGTCCAGCAGCTGTCTAAACTTCTTCCGGAGCTTGGCCAGCTTCTTGCGCTTCGCCGCCTTCTTCAGCTCGGCTTCTTGGTGCAGATGGTCCTCCTCCAGCTTCTGCTTGGTCGTCTCTATGCTGGAGGGAGTCAAGGGAGAGTCGGGGTGGGTTAGACGAGATGGAACTTTCATTTTTTTCTGGAGTCACAGTGACATCTAAATATAGATGAAGCGAAATGTCAAATATAATATATAAAAAAATGATAAAATGAAGAGACAATACAGTTTTCTACTGTGCAAATAACTTTCACAAATAGAGACACAGAAAGCAACAACAGTGATACACTGAGATACACAGAAGACAAGAATGAAGTGACAAAATAAAAGAGGAGGACCAAATTATCCCAAAACGGATAATTCACGCTCACCTGTAGGCAGCTGGGTCCTCAATGTCCTGGGCTAACGCCTCATTCTCAAGACCCACCTGTTAGAATACCATGTAAACAAGAGGATTACTATTTTCATTGATATTCATCTACAACCATCCATTTGGCCAACCTGCAACACTCCGTCCAAAACAGGGTTTTTTTGCCCCCAACAACGATTAACATCTTTTCATCTGTCCTAGACTGAAAAAAAACTCATAAGGTTACGAAATGTGAAGAATATTGTTTTTCTATATGTGTCATTGTCCTTTGGTTTTCACCTGCAACAGACACAGAAACTAATCTTATAGGCTGTTTGTTCCTGAAGGAAATACATATCATTGTAGGAAGATGTTGCAAAATGTTTTACACATTTACCAAACTTCACTTGTTACTGCATTTATAATACTCGTACACATACTCGTACCTGGCTCATGTAGAAGGAGCTCATTGCCATTGTCAATTTTATTTATATATCAATCCGTACAACATCCTCTGTCCTTAGCGCCTCGATGTAGATCAATCAAAAAAGTCCACAAAACAATTTAACAAGAAGCAAGACAAAGAATCTACAGCCATGCTAGCGAGGTTGTACTTAGGCAAAGCAGTGCGTTGAGCTAAATGCTAATATCGACATGCTAACATGCTCACAATGTCAACGCTAACATCCTGATGTTAAGCAGGTATGTTCTTCCTGTTCACCATCTTGGTATCTTGGAATGTATCCTCTGGGAACCATGAATGTCTGTACCATTCACCAGCATGGTGACATTTGCTGATTAGCATTAAACAAAAAGAACAGCTGAGGCTGATGGGAAGGTCATTCATCTTGACCAGATGACAGCAGAAGATGAAAGGTTAATGCGAATCTGTCGCATAGCTATGTAGCTCAAAACCACAAATGTGACCCTCACGATGGCACTAGGGTTATTAGAATGTATCCTCTGGGAACCATGAATGTCTGTACCAAATTTTGTGCCAATAGATTCAGTATGTGTAGATATATTCCACCAGAAAAGGGAACATTTTGACCTGCTGGTGGCACTAGCGGAAATATCAAAGTCGACAAGATTCAACCTCTGGGGAACATGATCGTCTACAAAATATCACTCTATGTCTGTCGATCCATCCAATAGTGGTGGAGCGACTGGCAGATTGACTTCGTTCATCCATAGAGCCACAATACATAAAATGGACTGACCCTGGGTGAAGGAACCGTGGCCCCCTGTTTCTGCAGGCCTTTCTCTAGCTCCTCTGGAGGAAGCAGGCTGAAGGAGAAGATGTTGCCGTCATCTCCCGCGGTCAGCACAAAGTGGTCGTCGTGGCTGCAGCGGATGTGCCGCAGGTGTCCGTACTGGTTGTCGTGGACACTGAGAGCCCAGTAGGCCTGCATGGAGGTGAGGCTGCTGTCGCCGGGCTGCAGAGGGTAAACCCTGATGAAGCCTGAGTGCATGCCGCAGAGCAGCAGCTGCCTGTTGGAGCTACACGGCAAAACACAAGGAGGGAAACTTTATACCGGTACGAGCACTGTGGCTCCAAATGTGAAGGGGCCTCTACAGTTTGCCTTCTAAAGAGTTCCTTGATTTCTGGCCTTATTTCAAACAGTTTTTGCTGAAGAAGATTGTTTTGTTTTCTGCGTTATCCAATATAGTCCAATATTCACTCTCCTTTTAGCTCTGTTTTGGTCTTGAACTCCAAATATGTGGCTCTTTAGCAGCTAAATGTTTCACGCCGTCTTCTACAGCTATTTATTAACTGTCTGTGCAATTGTGTTGATCAGAGCTATAGTTGGTTGCCTGTTGCTGCTGAAATTGCGGTTAATAAGAGACTGAAACAGGCAGTTCATGAGAGTTGATGACAGTTTTCTGTGGGTTCAGCACTACGCGTGACATTTTCACATTCAATTCAGTCATTTGATCTTGGAATCATTGTTGGTACAAAGAAGACGGATTTGTTACTTTTCCTCCAGCTACCTGAAGGTGACAGAGCGAATGGGGTCGTCATCTGTGCTGTGGACAGGCAGGAAGTCAAAGGGCTCATCCTGCCGCTGGTCCGGATCCTGGTCCTGCTTCTCAGAGAACTTACAGTGGTACAGGAAACCTGAGTCAAAGCCACCCTGCAGGAGAAATGGATCAATTCTTTAAGGAAAAACCAAATGTCCTCTGGGATTGTTTCTGTGATAAGGTATTAGCATTTAATCTTGTTTCAATTAAACTGTGGGGCTGGGTATCGTCTAAAGATTTTTGATAATAGTTTCGAAACATACCCATGTTATGGTACACCGTACAATTTTGGAGCGTTTTTAATATATAATTTGTTGTTATTTAATACGTTGACTTTGCTCTTTTACACTGGACCAAATACTGAAAGTTTACAGTAATGCTGCCCCAGTGTGAGTTATTAGAAAGCATGCCATCATACCGGAAGCAAAAGAGGTGTGACTTATAACAGAACAGTGTCAGCGTGTTGCACGTTGAAGTTACCACCTCCACTGCCGGTGGAACAACTCCCCTCATTTCGTACCTTTTATACAGAATGGCAACCGCGCAACATTCCTGCTTTCAAGGTCACATTTCAGACTAAAGACCAGTTAATTGTAGACGGGTTGTCCAATTGGGGACAAAAGCTGTGTCGCCCTTGGGAAAAAGCTGATTTCTGGGTCAGTGGTTAAGGTTAGGTGAGTTAGTGGTGGTTAGTGGCGTGTGTGTGTGTGTGTGTGTGTGTGTGTGTGTACCATGGAGAGCCAGAACTGGCCAGGCTGTGAGTAGAAGCCACAGTAGAGAGGACTTGGAGGGTCGGGGATGGAGATAGCGGGCAACTCCTCCTCCTCTTCTTCCACTGGCTCTGCGTCCAGCTGCTTCGATTCCTTCAACCTCTCTTCCTTCTTCTTCTCCTTTACGGCTTGACGTCTTGTGATTTCCTCCTCTCTCTGAAATACACAAACGCATAAATGAAAATGTGAATGGTCTAAACCTGACATGGAGTTGGTTATTTCCACAAAAATCGTGCAGAAATCGTTTTTTAAAAATGTAAGAAGAAGAAGGAGAAGAAGAAGAAGAAAGGAAATGAAGGAAAGAAAAATACTTGAATGACACACAACGAGTAACTATGGTGTTGATTAAAAATAAAACATACAGTATGACGTAATACAGCCATAAAAAGGGACATTATCATTATCAACAATTAATACCCTACAAACGAAATCTAAGACATAAAAAGCACAGACCTCGATTCGAGATTTGATACTCCTGAACCTGAAATATATGCTGGGCAGCTCAAGCAGCTGGAAGGTTTTGGTCGGCCTCTGGGCCTCTGGATCAGGCCTGTGCACCTCGACCACATGACCGCTCTGACACAGGATGAGCAGCCTGCTTTCACTCTGGGTAAAATGGGAACAGAAATCGGTTGAGCATGTCATTTTTCCTCACAAGAGACATTTGTGTGCAAGACGGTGGGAGACCAGACTTACGTGGGAATGAGGTGACCACTCCAGCGCCTGCACCGGCCCAGGAACGTGGACAAAGCCGATGGGGTCGTGTTTCTCCCCGACGGTGAAGAAGAACACAGTGCTGTCGGAGCTCTGTGGGGGAGGGCGGGGGTGAGAGGTCAGAAAGGTGAGACGAATAAGTGAAACAAAACCATGGCCTAATTAAGTGTCTGTAGAAACTTCTCAAACCTCTCCACCAGTGGTAATGTCCAACAGATTAGTATTTCCATGTGTGTTTAATGCCATTATGAGATTGAGGGCGAGGTGATATCAAGAGCTAATAATTCATATTCATCATTACCACAGGCTGAGATCCCCTATATCAACAAAAGCTGTCAGATTAAGTTGAATTGACAGTAACAGTAGTAACTCACTGCTGAGGAAATGCGCTCTAACCACACGGCTATCAGGTCTAACGATGTCTTACACTTAAGGAGACTTCCTCCTCAAGAAATATCGCTTAACTGCCTAAAATACTTCCAGAGTCCAGGCTGACCATAGCTGTCGGCATTAACAAAGGAGCAAAATACAAAACTTTCAAGCCCACAGACAGCAGGTGTTAAAACTCAAAAGATAGGTTTTAAAAGGTATTCCTTCAAACCTTTAAGTCTATTTCAAAACGTACATTTTCCGAAACCCGGTGTTTTCTTGGAAAACCTCTTACCCCCGTGGCTAAGATCTCTCCATTTTGCTCATATGCAATAGCAGTTACATGGGCATTATGGGGTTTGAAGGCCTGTTTGAGGCTCAGCTTGGCATCTCCTTTGGGGCTGCGCCCGGGGACCACGGGCAGCCTTTGAGGGTCGTACAGCTCCAGTAACCGGACCACCCCGTCCTCAAAGCCCGTCACCAGTAGACTTCCACTCTGGTTCACCTAAAGACAAAACGCCAGAGCCTCACAGGTCAGTTTTCAGTGAGTGCTCATGTGGGAGCATGACACATTTTCACATCATCACACTCACCAAAGGTGAAGCCCAGCAGAGGGCAGTACCGCCCTGATTGAAGCGACTGCTGGTCAGTTCTCTTTTGGCCAGGAAGTCAAAAACTTTGACTGAACCTGGAGATCAGGGACAAGCAGACAGAGAACCTTTTTACAATGCGTGTGTGTGTGTAAATGTGTCTTTGCGTGTATTTGCGAACATGTACTGTAAGTGTGCAGGTGTGGGAATGCGTGGCACTCACGGTCTAAAGCAGTCGTGGCCATCAGGTGAGATTTCCTCGACACGTCCAGGCCCTGGATCGCCCCGGCGTGGAAGGAAAACAGGCACTCTGGATCAGGAGTCTGCACACACAGATGACACACCAACTGTTTCTTCACTGGGAGAAGACACTGCGTTTGTTCATCTTACTCATTCATCATAACATGTGACGATACAATATGGTTTGCTATCAGGCTTGGGGAGTAACAGAATGTATGGAACGGCGTTGCAGTGCGAAATTAGGATGCAAAAAAAAAAAAAAGGTAACTTTATTCCGTTACAGAAAGATTCAAAAATTCAGATTTTTGGCAGCGTTACAATTTCAAAATACATTTTAAAATAAATACTAAAATAAAGTATTAAAATAAATAAAGGATGTAATACCCTGCACATGCGCACACATTTCAACACGAGTCTCACACAATGGCCTCCAACGTTAGTAAGAAGTGTTTCATTGAAATTTTGCAATTATTTTGCATGTAAGGCATAATCACAGTACAGTGCATGCTATCACAAAGCAGGATGGTTTACACATTTTGCAGTTCATCAAGATTATTCTTAATTTCTTGTCCAGTTACTTTAATATCACGATACTTGGATTAAGTTATTGACTACATTTTTAATTAGCGATTGTATCGGAATACATTTTTAGAGTAACTCTCCAAACCCTGTTTGCAATACCGTTTCCCCTTCGGACGGGACAATATTACCTATAGCTACATAACTACAAACACTTCACCGAAACAAAAATAAATGCAATGATGACTTTATTCCTTTCTCTTGTTGGTCCACCTTTGATTTGTGTGACCTAATTAATTACAATTGCCGACTGAATTTTTCGGTGTGATGCGACACTCCAACAGTAAAATGTCGTGCAAAACAGGTATACACACGGTATACTCTTGTTTCCATTATTCACAGACAAATACACTGACTTTTTAAAAAGGTGCAGATCAATTCAAGCAATTTTCTCTCCTCACACACACAATTTGTTCTTACAATCACCACAGTTAGGAAAAGATTTTTTTCAAAGATCACAGTTATAGAATGAGAAATGTACTTTGCTTCATACAAAGCTTAACGTACACATAACGTCTCTATGAAAGAAACTCAGTGTTGGTGAATGAAAGATCCAGTTTCCAGATGGCTCCGCTGGAATCCTATAAGACCGCATAGCGGAGGGATTAGGTTCGGAATTTTTTGATCAAGCTACGGGCGGATCATGTATTGCAAATGGTTTTAATTAGTGACCGTTGACCTTTGGCCCTCTGACCTGAGCAAAACAGATGAAGGAGTCATGCACGGAGCTCCTCACCACAGAGGAGAGGCAGACTTTGTGTCCGACCACCAACTCGTTCATGGGCTCGAGCTCAAACCTGCTGCCGTCGCGGTTACCGTCGGCAGTGTCGATGCTCTCAAAGTCCCAACCCTGCATGGTGGCAGAAGACATACTTATTATAAGAAAACTGAGAATCTCCATGTGGATCATCATTTCTGCTCGATTAGCTTTTAAAATAAATTATCTAATTTAAATACAGAGCCTCTTCAGATTGGAGCCAAATGTGTTGTGTTTCTGTGTCTGTGCTTGGACTTTATCTGGCAACGTTTTTGAGTCCAATACGGACACACAAAATGTGTATGAATCCGCCACTGATGACCAAACATTCACATGTGCTCATTGTTCAGTTTAGTAAAACTCATTTTGAAAAACATCAGATGTCAAACTTCACAGACACGTTCTAAAAGTGAAGCGTATTGAGGTTGTGTTATTGCGAGGATCTTACCCGGACCACTCCGTCAGAGCCAATCGTCATCAGCTGTCCGTCTTCCAGGGCGAAGGGCTGGACCATCCCAGCGTGGCAGCTCCGCCCCTCCTTACGGCAAATCTCCACCTTGATGCCATTCCCATCCCACAGCAACAAGTTGCCCCAGTCTGAGCCAGACACCACCTGACAGGAGGAGATGGTCAGAAGTAACTGTTGAGTCTTAGAGGATTTTAGAATCTAAAATATTTTTGACCTTGCAAACTGGATTTAGTGGGTTAGGGTTAGGATTTTGTGAGGGTCTTGTTGCATATATTTTGAGGCCTTCCTGACTTTCGCAAAACCCCAAACTGTCAGAAAAGCAGGGCACAGACCTTTCCGTCAGGAAGTTCCACGCAGCCCTCAATATCAGTCGCTGCAGTTTTCCCAAAATCTCCCATGAGTCCTTGCAACTTAAGGCCTGTGAATGTGCTGTCCGTTTGCCAGAACCTGGGAGAGAGAAGGACAGAAGGTATTTTCACCTTATTTGAATAAAAATAAAATAAAATCAGTAAGAGAGAATTATTCAGCTTCTGATGTCTGGAGTAATTTTTATAGCAGTGCTTTAACAGAGGTGCCGGGTTTTAGGAGGACCCTTTACTTGATGTGTCCAGATCCTGAGGATGTGAGCTGACCCGGGTTGTACGGGGAGAAGCTGACTCGGTAGACCTCCTGAGAAACTGCCATGCAGCTCACCATCACCATCTCCTTCTTCCAGTCCCACAGCGTCAGCATGTAGTCCGGTGCGCACCCCACGCTGGCCAGCAGGCTCCCGTCAGGGTTAAAATCCACAAAACTGTATGTCCGCTCTGTACCGCCTACACACGTGAAGGTTCAAAGATTATCATCGATAAAAACATCACATTTGGAAAAAAAAGTAGATCTCAATGCATCTTGGTCCCATTTACCTCTGAGGATGCAGAACGGTCGTAGCGAGGGATATTCAAACACTATGATGTTGGGCTGCTTTCCCTTCTCTGCTACAACAAAGTACTCCTTGCTAGGGTGTGCCTTGACACACACACACACACACACACAGAAATCATTTTTAAGCAATAGTCAGTGATGCATTTTGTCTCCACATACATGTTAATGCAGAATATCACAAATTTGGAGTTAGAAATAAAACATTCTTGTATATATATCAGTGACCTCATTTAAAATCTCACATCACATCATATCATATACTGTAGGAGGGATCACTGAGCACACTCTTAGGGATGCTCATACATGCACCTGTAAAACCAAATCTGCAAAGCATTAGATAATGCCATATTTCCATATTTAAACATTACTTTTCAGAAAACTTGTAATATAAAAAATAATTGTTTTAATGTAAGTCATCAACTGGGGTAGATTCATGGTTATATTTATTAGGTATTTCCCCCTTTAGTGTCTTGCAAAATGTATGGAATTTTACAATACATATCTTTAAAGGCTGTTTTCTCAAAATTAGTTTATTTTTTTCTCAAACTCTGAGTCAGATCTCCACTTCAGAGGCACTTACACACACACACACACCAAACTTTCCAGTTTCCAACTTTCCAACTATATTCTGAAGGTGATTACTGAGGGGGTTGTTCACATCACAGCCTGATTTACCAAATATTCTATCAGAAAAAACATGGTGAAAATTGATTCTTTTTGGGCTGTTGCCAGTATTTTCTGATTTATGGAGTGAAGAAAAGAGATTTCTAAAAACCCCTCAATAAAAACCTTTGACTCTGTCAACAAAGAATTTATCCAATGTTCAGATTTCTGCTATAGAAATGTCTGCAAATTGGCACATAAGTCATAAGATAATGCCTTTTTTTCCTATCTAAATGTAAAATTTCAGAGAAAATGTATATGAAATAATCGCCTTAATGTAGATGATCAACATGGGGGAGTTTTATGGTTGTATCTATATTAAAATGTTTACCCTGTTCTCCTGGGGTGCTGACCATTTTCAAAGCTGCAAACTCTATTTTTCCCCACAGTTCCAGGCAGCCATTGATTTACATTATGGTGTATGTTATCTGTTTGTACACTCATTAAACTTGACTGAGTTATGTTATCTATCAAAATGAAGTCTGCATACATTTTGTCAAATGATGCACATCATTAGGTGCAGATTGTCAAAGTCACTCTACACTAGAATAGTGAGGATAAGTATAGAGACCTAAATTGCAATTTTTATACAAGCAATACAAAAAGTACTTTGATAATGTAGTATTATATTACATTATATTGTATTCTATGTGAACTTAGCAAAAGTATTAATGAAAAGTGTTAATTTACTGATGCTTTCACTTGAAAGTAAGTACATTTTAGGTGATCCTTCATATTCTTTTGCCCATTTGATACTTTAGCAATGCCTTTTCATTTCTAATGGTATTGTAATTCTGCTTATAAAACATGTATGTTGATACTGCAATATTTTCCTGCAAAAAATATAGCTCTGTCAAAGTAGAAATCCTCAAACAGCTACTCAAGTACTACAATTTCAAAGTTGCACTTGACTCGGCCTAAATATCCGTCTGTTTATCCACCTCCTCAGTGTTTCCTGCACTCACTCACAGACAGACTGGAGCCTCAGAGGTCACTCAGCCATCTTACCGTGATGGAGCCGATTCCTCCTCCACTGCAGGAGCGGAGGTATCTCTGCTCCTTGGTGGAAACGTCCAACAGGACGAGCAGGTTGCCTGCTATAAAGATCAGAGTCCTGTCATCCAGGAGCTGCAGGTTCCTCCTGCGCCCACTGTCATAGCCAAAGGAGTGACTGAATGCAGGACAGATTAAGGATCAAGATCAGATTCACTGAAGACAGAAAGTCGTGGCATCAAATGATTTTAATGAAACTCAAGTCATTTTCAAAGAAGGATACGAGAGGTACAGGAGGTTCTCTGGGATTTCAGAGTCAGGTGTGATGGACGGTCTGGAGTGGAGTTCCTCATACTTGTACATGTCTGCAGAGCGCTGCTTTTCTGATCCCTCTTCAGGCTCCTGCTGCTTCACTAGTGTTCATTGAGAGGGAAGACACATTTGAAGAGGTAAAGTCCTCTAACACTTGTAGTGTGCAGAACAACTTTATTGTTAGACCTGGGGAGGAGGAAACATTTGACAGCAGCTTCCAGCCACCATCATGTTCATTTTTCCCTCAATGATTTGTACTTGGTGTGTCCAGATCCTGTCCAGGCACCATAAAGTATACAGCAGTAAAAATACACACACAATAAGTCCACAACTATTTGTCCCGCCCCTTCTCAACTGTGATTGGACAGTGACGAGCGGAGCGCTTTACGCAAAGTTAAACGTTTTAAGCGCTTGAATTGCAAATAAAAAAATACGCTGGCCTCGGTAAAAAACGTTTTTGATGGAGAAAGGTCCCTAACGTTACCTTCAATGTGTCCCTGCGCCGCTGTGTGTGTGCTCTCAGCCCGCTCACCCACACAAGTCGTGTTTTCTTCAGCTGCTCTACAATCTGTGTGACAGTAAAGTACAGCACAGCGTTAGCAACTAGCTAACATTAGAGTTTCAGCTATTCTGTATCGAACAAACAATTAAACGTTTTCCATTAAAGTTTGACTTGATTAATGTCTGCTAGTCCGTTTTAGTTTGGAGGCGTTGCGAGGCAACAAGAAAAGTCACTCCTCTGCAAAGCATGCTGGTTAATGTAGTTCTCAATCCTCTTTTTTTTGCGTTACAAGGGTTAAATGTAGATGTCTTTTTGACTTGCTTTATTTTGGGATTAGAAAAGACAACCAGAGGCAGAATAGGGTGAGTCATGCTTTCACCGTCCTAGAGACAAAATATCGCTAACGGTAAGGGTTAATGTCCCACGTCAGAGTTGTTGCTGAGACATTTCGGAAAGCATCCTCCATGGTTGCAACGACCTACGCTTTACGACAGCGAGGTTTAGTCTGATTGGACGTTTTGTGCCGTAAACCGTGCCGGTTACAGAACGCATGTGACTGAGCTGAGACGTCGCGTGTGTACATCTGGAATGTAAGTTACACCAATAAAAACGTGTATATTGTGTTATAGTTCGTGTTACTGGGAGGGATAAAGCAAAGAAGCGCATTACGTTATCCACAGTAATAATATGTGTTGACATCTAACGTTAACGCATTAGTTATGCTATAAGCTAGGTTATTGCTTCGGGAAAAAAAATACCCCAAATCTCACATTATCCAGGTGAAGTAGTGATCTAAAACTAACATTAATCAAGTTTAACTTAATTAACGTTACAAATGCAACAAGTAACGTCATCGTATTACCAGCAAAACGTGCTTACGTATCAAAAGTATAAAGTAACAGTCGGTCATGAAACAGTGTTACAGTATTCCTGGGTGGTTAGCTAACGATGATTAGCAGACGGAGGTAGTTTCTTGTTGTCTGTCTTTATAACAGTGCCTCTTATTGTAAGAAACTGGTAATGTTTGCGTCCTATATCTCCCCCTGTGAAGTAGCATAACACTTTAAAGACGCTATCAGATACACATTTACTTAATACCACATTTTAGTGTATTCAACGTTGCGTGATATTCACTTTTAACATGAATTGCCGTTTAATGGTTCGTAATTTTCCACCTACTTATTTATGTCATTACATTGTGTTAAGTTTGTTGTTTATGGATTCTAAAATAACAACAATTTATTTATTTTTGAAGGCCAAATGAATGTAAGTTTAAGATACTAACAGCAGTAAAGACTACGATACTTGATTTTGAAATGTATTATATTCCATCCATCCATCCATTTTCCTCCGCTTATCCGGGGTCGGGTCACGGTGGCAGCAGGCCAAGCAGGCTGACCCAGACTTCCCTCTCACCGGCAACATGTTCCAGCTCATTCTGGGGGATCCCGAGGCGTTCCCAGGCCAGCTGGGAGATATAATCCCTCCAGCGTGTTCTGGGTCTTCCCCGGGGTCTCTTCCCAGTTGGACGTGCCTGGAAAACCTCCAGTGTATTATATTGTAGAGTTTAATTTCAGCAGGCACCTTCATCTTAGATACTTACTGCTCAGCCTCTAAATAAATAGGCCTGGAAATATGTGGGGCGCTGGTTTGAGATTTTTGTTTGGAGCCCAGATTTCTGATTACTTGTCCGTCTCTCTGCTGTTGTCCTCGTCTCCTTTTTCCTTTGTGATGCTCCGTTAGGATGGAGGCTAAATCCCCCAAAAACTCTTTTCCGAAAGACAGAAAGAAGTTCCCACAGAAAGGAAAAGGTAAGCTGTAGTTTACTTTAGCCAGCTGTGCACGTCATCGCTTTCAACCAGGTTTGTCATCGGCATGTCTCACTCTGTTCAGATTCCATGGGGACCAAACTTGGTGGAAAACCAGGCGGTAAGAAGCCCTACAAAGCTTTCGACAACACAGAGAGAAAGGGCAGACCGAAGGGTGGAGATGGAGACAAGCGGGAACACAAATTTCCTTTCTCCAAGGCCGACGGGGGGCCGCAGAAGAGGACTATGCCATTTAAAGCGAAAATAAAAGAAGAAGAGGAGGGTGAAGGTGAGAAAACATTTGCTTGTCTTTTTTTGACTTGAAGGTCAGATTACAATGAGTTTGCATATTTCATTCTTTGACATCTCATTGCCAGTTAGTGTTTCCACTCACAGATCCTTCTTGTACTTCATGTCACATGCCAACTAAATATAACTGCTTGTTGTAACAACTGAAATAATATACTAAATATCCAATAAACCTCAAAATATATATATATATATATATATATATATATATATACACACACACACACACACACTTATACATACTTTAAAATATCAAAACAAAAGGGATATTAACAACATGAACATGGGCTTCTGATTGGTTGCCTGTTTGGCTGTTCTGTTGAAAGCAGTTGCGTCTACACTTAAACTCCAGTGTGAAATCATTTTAAAGGATTTCTCTGTGTGTGTGTGTGTGTGTGTGTGTGTGTGCATGTGCGATCAGGTCCGGTGGTCAAGAGGATGAAGGAAGGCAAGTTTGATCCGAAGATGAAGGAGCTGACGGAGGAGGAGCTCAAGAAGAACAGGCAGCAGATGAAGAGGGATCTGAAGAACAGCAGACAGGAGGCGGAGATGAAGGACATGTTCCAGATCATCCGTCAGTGCAAACAAGTGTGGGGAGACCTCAGGAGGTACACACACAC